AGCGGCTTACATGGCGCCAAGCCCGGACAACATAATACAGCAATAAAATCAAAACATATACAACAGACAACAACAACATTATCAAAATGACAAAATAATAATAATAATAATAATAATAATAATAATAATAATAATAATAATAATATAAAAATTCCAATAGACACAATCACGATAGAGATGACAATGGGCATTCCCTAGACCAGGCCCTTTAGGGGAGGAGGATGCTCCAAATGCACTGCTTCCAAGCTGCAAGCTTACTTCTCCTTGGATTTCTTTGAGAGCATCCCAATCCGTACGTATTTCCTATTTCCTATTCCTGAACTGCAACTCCCAGCAATCCTCCAGATAGATAACATATATAGATTAGATAGAGATAGATAGTAGGTAGATAGATAGATCAATCAGGAGGACTGCTGGGAGTTACAGTCCAAGAATAGGTAGAGAACGAAGAAAAGAGAGTAGAAAAGAAAAAGGAAGGAAGGAAGGAAGGAAGGAAGGAAGGAAGGAAGGAAGGAAGGAAGGAAGGAAGGAAGGAAGGAAGGGGAGAAAGAAAGAGGGAGGGAAGGTTGGCCACAGCAATGTGTGAAGGGTACCACTAGTTCTCAAATAATTCTTTAAAATGAGTGGATTATTTAAATTGAAGTTATGTCGATGATTGACACCTTCTCGATGTATACTCAACTCAAAAAAATGAGTGGATTCCATTATAGTCACTTGTTAATCATTTCTTTAATAATTTATCTGTTAATAATTTATTGTTATTGTTTGGACCTCAATTTTGGTTGTTTGTATGTTATATTGAGTATTTTATTTCATGTTTTTCCCCTGTTTTTCAGCAATTGAATGTTTGCCATGTTATTATTTTTGTAAACCGCCCAGACTCCCTTCAGGGAGAGAGGGCGGGTTATAAATAAAGTTATTATTATTATTATTATTTTATATACACAACAAGATGAATCCACAGTAGACACTCTGCTGGCTGTTGTATTGGATTACACGTTGGACACTTCCCAAGTGTCTAGAACTGTTTGATGTATCGGCAAATAATGCGTGCAGATCCCAGTAAGGTTGCCTTTTGCAGCTAGCAGATGGTAATCTTGTCAGCGTCGATTGTGTTTAAGAGCAGGCCAAGGTCTTTAGTGTGCATCCCCATTGTTGCATCCCCATTGCTGATTTGTAGTTAGGAGTGGAGCTACACTGTGGAACCCCCTGTTGTATGTACCTAGGTTGCAGCTGTGAGAATTTTACATGCATCAATCTAACTGAGGACAAGAGTATATCACTGGGAGTAGTCTAGTCTCAGAGGTATAATTTAAGTAAAGATAAAGGTTTTCCCCTGACATTAAGTCCATTCATGTCCAACTCTGGAGGTTGGTGCTCATCTCGATTTCTAAGCCGAAGAGCCAGCATTGTCTGTACACACCTCGTAGGTTATGTAGCTGGCATGACTGCATGGAGCACCGTTACCTTCATGTCAGTGTGCTACCTATTGATTTGCATTTGCATGTTTTCAAACTGCTGGGTTTGCAGAAGCTGGGGCTAACAGCAGGAGCTCACACTACTCTCTGGATTCGAACCTGCGACCTTTTGGTTAGCAATTTGTTGCTTTCAGGCACTGTGTATGTGCCATTGTAAGCCGCCTTGAGTCCCCCTGCCGGGGTAGAGAAAGGCGGGGTATAAATATGGCAAACAAACAAACAAATAATAAGTTCAGTAGCTCAGCGGTTTAACCCACTGCGCCATTGGGGAGTTCAATACTAATTCAGACCTGTTGTTTCTACCAGTGGTGATGTGGGAGAAGTATGTTCCCACATTTTTTTGAAATTTATTTGGTCTTTGCTACCTTTGATCCTCAGAGGCACACTATCACAAAGCATTCCAGCTTCCCCACCTTGACTATGCTAATCCAAATGTGTTTGGATTCTCCATTTTCCTTGTACAGAAGTAAATGTATATGTTATTTCCTTTTGGGCTTTTTAAATGGCTGTCAGCTAAAATTTGGTCTTTCCCGGTCCTCAGTTGATGCCTTGAAAGGTTTTTAGACTTATGCCTTAAGGAAGATTAATCCTAAAGGAATGCTTCCAAGTCTGTGACCGCATTATTTATTTATTTATTTATTTATTTATTTATTTATTATTTTTAATGTATTTTTTTTATTTTTTAATTTTTAACCACTTTTCTTAACAGATCAGTTAAAAATAATTCTTTTATCTTCTTGAAATTAAACACAAGGGTTTTCACAGGTAGCTTCGTTGCACAGCATTCCCAATTTAAAGGCACTACCCTTCTTAGTTCAATATAGAGCACAATTGTTGTTGTGCCTACCTAGAACAATTGCTTTAATTCCTCCCCATTTCCTATTGAAAAGCTCTGCTTTTATGCTGCAGATCAGAATAATTATTGCAGTGCTGCCAGCCATCCCCTCTCATCAAACGTTTTCTCAACTCTGCTGTTTGTTTAGGGCATTTATCTGCGCATGCATTTTATATGAGGAGTAGAAAATCAGGAATATTTCTTTCATCACTAGCACAGAGATAGAACGAAGCCAGATGGAGGGCTATTTCAAGAGCTCTGTGTCCTTGGTACCAAGAGCCTGCTTTGTTTCAGCATCCTTATTCTGAGAATCTAATTACCAAAGACTGCTCCTGTTTTCTTTGTTCCAGCAGTTAGCATGCTGACGACAACCTAGATTGTATTAAGAGAGGTTGCATTAAGACTTGAGGAGTGATAGAACAATCCTTATCAAGACTGCCACTACTCTGCAATGATGTGTTTTGCATGTTATTTTGAAAGAAAAGGGTTGAGCAGTCGCAAGTTATTTAGAAGAAAACATTGCAGTTTACAAGAGGAAGCCCAAAAGAGATTTGCAATTTAGGGTCCTTCTAGACAGGCCCCTTATTACAGGATCTGATCCCAGGTGTTCTGTTTACCCCAGATTATCTGGCAGTGTGGACTCATATAATCCAGTTTAAAGCAGAAAACCTGAGATCAGATCCTGTCTGGAAGGGCCCTTAGAGTGGAAGAACAAACTAAAAGTAATTGAAGGAGGGGTTGTTGTTGTTGTTGTTGTTCATTCGTTCGGTCATTTCCAACTCTTCGTGACCTTATGGACCAGCCCACGCCAGAGCTCCCTGTCGGCCGTCATCACCCCCAGCTCCTTCAAGGTCAATCCAGTCACTTCAAGGATGCCATCCATCCATCTTGCCCTTGGTTGGCCCCTTTTCCTTTTTCCTTCCATTTTCCCCAGCATTATTGTCTTCTCTAAGCTTTCCTTTCTTCTCATGATGTGGCCAAAATACTTCACCTTTGCCTCTACTATCCTTCCCTCCAATGAGCAGTCAAGCTTTATTTCCTGAAGTATGGACTGGTTGGATCTTCTCGCGGTCCAAGGCACTCTCAGAACTTTCCTCCAACACCACAGTTCAAAGGCATCTATCTTCCTTCACTCAGCATTCCCTATCGTCCAGCTCTCACATCCGTAGATGTAGAAGGAGGGGATAGAAGTCCTAAAATACCAGCACCCTCATCAAACTGTAATTCCCAGGTTGTTGTTGTTTATTCGTTCAGTCGCTTCCAACAATGTGATGCGGCAGCAAAAAAAGCCAATGGGATTTTGGCCTGCATCAATAGGAGTATAGTGTCTAGATCCAGGGAAGTTGTGCTACTCTTCTATTCTGCCTTGGTTAGACCACATCTGGAATATTGTGTCCAATTCTGGGCACCACAGTTGAAGGGAGATGTTGACAAGATGGAATGTGTCCAGAGGAGAGCGACCAAAATGATCAAGGGTCTGGAGAACAAGCCCTGTGAGGAGCAACTTAAGGAGCTGGGCATGTTTAGCCTGAAGAAGATATGGTTGAGAAGAGACATGATAGCCATGTATAAATACATGAGGGGAAGTCATAGGGAGGAGGAACGAACTTGTTTTCTGCTTCCCTGGAAACTAGGACATGGAGCAATGGCTTCAAACTACAAGAAAGGAGATTCCATCTGAACATTAGGAAAAACTTCCTGACTGTGAGATCCCTTCAGCAGTGGAACTCTCTACCCCGGAGTGTGGTAGAGGCTCCTTCTTTGGAAGTTTTTAAACAAACGCTGGATGGCCATCTGTCAGGGGTGCTTTGAATGCAATTTTCCTGCTTCTTGGCAGGGGGGTTGCACTGGATGGCCCATGAGGTCTCTTCCAATCCTATGATTCTAGGGCCCTTCCAGAGAAGACCTTTATCCAAGGATCTGATCCCACGTTTTCTGTTTACTCCAGATTATCTGGCAGTGTGGACTCATATAATCCGGTTTAAAGCAGAAAACCTGGGATCAGATCCTGGGATATAAGGCCTATTTGGAAAGGCCCTTTGCATGTTATTTTGCATGTTATTCATTCAGTCTTTTCCAACTCTTCGTGACCTCATGGACCAGCCCACACCCAGCTCCTTCAAGGTCAATCCAGTCTTGGGAAAAGAATACCAAAAAGAAAGGAGACTTTTAGTGTGGTCCAAACTCCTCCCTGACTTCTTAATAATTCAAATTGTGGAAAAACGAACTGAAAGTAATCGGAGGAGGGGTTGAGAACTGCTAAAATACCAGCACCCTCAACAAACTGTAATTCCCAGGTTGTTGTTTATTCGTTCCATCACTTCTGACTCTTCGTAACATCATGAACCGGCCCACACCAGAGCTCCCTGTCAGCTGTCACCACCCCCAGCTCCTTCAAGGTCAAGCCAGTCACTTCAAGGATACCAAAACATTCAATTTTGCCCTTGGTCGACCCCTCTTCCTTTTTTCTTCCATTTTCCCCAGCATCATTGTCTTCTCTAAGCTTTCCTGTCTTCTCATGATGTGGCCAATTCCCAGGAGAAAGGTGCAAATGTTAAACAAAAACTAGACATGATTTAACGTGCAAATGTTTAGTTTCTTGGTTCAGTGTTCTGTGTCCCTAGAGCTCCGTGATGAATACTCATGAATCTTTTATGACTTCCTCTACCCATGGTTATTTCTTGCAGGTAACTCCCCTTCAGATGAGTCCGAAGAGCGAGAGAGAGATCCCAGGGTACTCACATTTCCAGAATACATTACCAGCTTGTCAGAGTCCGGGACCAAGCGCATGGCAGCTGGCGTGCGCATGGAGTGTCAGAGTAGGGGCCGTTGCCCATCATCCTGTCCATTATGTCATGTGACCTCTAGCTCGGATGCCTTAGGGGAACCCATCCTCTTGGAGGTTACCAAAGCAGCACCCATCTATGAGCTGGTTACCAACAATCAGACTCAAAAGGTGAGTGGTCTCGGCTTGGGAAAAGAATACCAAAAAGAAAGGAGCCTTTTAGGGTGGTCCAAACTCCTCCCTGACTTCTTAATAATTCAAATTTTTCAGCGGAGGGGTTGGCAGAAGGGAAAGCCACATGTGAAAGGTGCAGAAGCATTTCTAAGATTGCTGGGTTAAAACAGACTTAAAATAGGATGAAATTAAATAAATTAGAATTCAGCAAAAGCTGCTTGTGAAATAGGGTGTTGCATGGTTTTTGGGCTGTATGGGCATGTTCTTGTCGTTTCGCCTGCATCTGTGGCTGGCATCTTCAGATGCAGGTGAAACATCAGGAGAAAATGCTGCTAGAACATGGCCACACAACATGGCCGTAAAAGCCTTCCACAATGCTTGTGAAATTTCTTCCTATATTTTGGGCTTCCATAATCATAATTTTGCCCCCAGAGAAGCACTCATATTTGAATGAATTGCCAGTCTCCTTTTTGGAATTCTGGATTTAATTCACATCACTCTATGAGTGTGGCTTGGCTGTCGTTTATACACAAATTATGTAGTAAGGAGCCTGGCAGAAATGAACCGGGGTTTTTTGCACTCTTTATTTAGTGCATGCTCACATGACTTTGGGGACATCAATGACCTATAAAGAAGGAAAACTGACAAACTGTGCACGCTCCAATTTGAAAATTAATTTTAGAAATATTCCGAGTAAAACCAAAAGACAGATGGAGTAGCACACTGGGCTGAGCCAAGCCATGGGACAATAATGCAATGGAACAGAATGCATCTGCTCATCCCTTATTCTGCACAGACCCTGGGCTTGGGTAGTACAAATGCAGTTGTTTGGAGAGTCTATATGTTGTAGATGTGGACATTTTACTTTAAAGCCTTTGTGATCTTCAAAACCCTAAGCTTTCAGCCTGGCTCTGAGAGCAATGCTTTATCCAGTCGCACAACCAAGGTGTACAGCTTGTAAAAACATACAACCTCATCACATTACCTAGTAAAAGGTAAAGGTTTTCCACTGACATTAAGTCCAGTCGTGTCCGACTCTGGGGTGTGGTGCTCATCTCCATTTCTAAGCCAAAGAGCCAGTGTTGTCCACAGACACCTCCAATGTCATGTGGCCAGCATGACTGCATGGAGTGCTGTTACCTTCCCGCTGAAGCAGTACCTATTGATCTACTCACATTTGCATGTTTTTGAACTGCTAGGTTGGCAGAAGCTGGGGCTAACAGTGGAAGCTCACCGCACTCTCCAGATTTGAACCTGCAATGTTTAGATCAGCAAGTTCAGCAGCTCAGCGCTTTAACACACTGTGCCACCAGGGGGCTCCCACATTACCTAAATTCCCCATTAAAGGACAATTCCTCCACACAGCCGGCACGGAGCTCACCGGATCTCATCCTATGACATACAACTACTTCCAGCAGGGCTCTGTGCTTTCTGCATGGAGGAAGCATGATAGGAGGGGGAAACTTGAACATGGGAGATTGCCCATGTCCAGATTAGGAATCATGGGGACGCCATGTGTGTCAGAGTTTGGAGGAGCAGAAGGAATGCCAGATCAGCAGACACTGTGTTGTAAAATAAGGACTCTGCAGGCTTTGAGTTACAAAAGAAACTAAGTTTACTAAGCACATTTAATACACACGTCTTACTACAGCGAGCTACAATTCAGGAACTATGAATTGAAAAATGAAAGTCTCTTCACATCAGCTTATCTTCTCTCTTACTGAGACTAGTTACTCCCTTATGTTCCCAGCAAGAGCAAACCTTATCTTACTTCTCAAGGTTATTTAATCACAGCCTCATGGTATGAACATTCTGCATAGCATTTGTAACACACAGTGGAATCCATCTTGGCAATACATAGAAGCACATTGAAAACACATACATAACTAAATTAATCCTGACAATGGCCCCTCTTTTTAAATGTGATTCTATAACTCTAATACATACATGTAATCTGCATAACTCTAACATCTTAACTCTTAAGTACAACATTCATCTGCTTAACACCGCTATAACATCTCAATTACATACAATTACTTATATTCATTTCTTAATACACCTCATTACTCCTTATAACTTTAATAACCATTACATTTCATAACCAGAATAACCCTATAACTCTATATCATGTAGATATGCTTTCTGGTATGTGATGGACAAGCGGGTGGTGCGGGCAATGCAGCGTGGCAGGTGATAGATCCTCCCTACTGCCCCACAATTTGCCCCACTGCCTGACGCCCCCCCCCCCCAACTGTCCTTTGTATTGTGGACCTTAAAGAGATTATTACACTACATTTAAACAAGTAGATATAGAGTTGAATGCCCACATTAAATCCTATGACTGCTTCTTACAGGTTTCTGGAATTTGTAGTTTCAGGAGGCCCAGGACTTCTATGACTGAGAATTGTAAAGGCCCTTTAAAAGTAGATTATCACTACAGTCAGGCATGTAGCCGGGGGGGTGGGGGGGCTTGAAGAGCTTCAGCCCCCCCCCCCCCCAAACTCAGCACCCCCAAATCAAAATCCTGGCTACGGACCTGACTGCAATGTGATAGTCTACTGAGGAATTTTCACTGCAAAGTTATTGTAAGGACATCAAGTATTAGAATATTTGTTATGAACTTTGTTGTGGCATCTGCAACTCACATCTAGTTGCACTGCTTTCTGACCCTGTACCTAGACTCAGATCAGTTAGTCCTTCCATCTTTTTTTCCCTTCTCCTTGTATCTTTCACTGTTGTCCTAAATTAATTAATTTTTATTTATCGTGTCAGGAGCAAACCAAACAGTTGTATTGCATTAAAAAACAAACAAACAAACAAAACACAAAGTTTGCAAACTTGGTAGTTGATTAAATGTCCTTTGACCAGTAGCTGGCCACTTGGATTGCATCTGGTGTGGCTATAAGAAGGTCCTCCTCATTGTTGTCTCAATGAACTCATGCATCCTAAAGAAAGCTAGCTTGAAACCATTATTTGGCAATGTATTGTCGAAGGCTTTCATGGCCAGAATCACTGTGTTGTTGTAGGTTTTTTCGGGCTGTATGGCCATGGTCTAGAGGCATTCACTCCTGACGTTTCGCCTGTACTTTAGCAAACATCTAATTACCTCTCAACAAAATTTTGCCCCAGGCGCAGTCAGGCCATTGTATGCTAATCAAGGTGGTCAGTTGAAACATTCACACCTAGCTCCAGCAAAGAAGAGTCCTTTGTCCCACCCTGGTCATTCCACAGATATATAAACCCCTTTTGCCTAGTTCCAACAGACCTCACTACCTCTGAGGATGCTTGCCAAAGTGCAGGCAAAACGTCAGGAGGGAATGCCTCTAAACCATGGCCATACAGCCCGAAAAAACCTACAACAACCCATTATTTGGCAGGCAAGCAAGTGCTTTGCTGCTCTTTGCAAAGGAGAGCCTTTGTATTGCACCCTATGGAGAAGGTGACAAACCTGAGAAGAGTGGGGGTGGGGAATTCAGCCTTGGGAAAATCTTCTTGTGTGTTCTTGACACTCTTTTTGTGCTTTTTATTCCCTTTCTTTCTTTTTTTCTTTCCTTCTTCCTTCCTCAGCTGTTACAAGAAGCCACCATGAGTTCCCTCTGGTGCTCCGGCAGTGGGGATGTCATTGAGGACTGGTGTCGATGTGACTCAAGTGCCTTCGGTGCTGATGGGCTTCCAGCCTGTGCACCTCTCCCACACCCTGTGTATGTGCTTCCCACTGGAAACTTGCAGAACTAAGATTTTGATAAATATCATTTGAGAAATGCGACATCTCCCTGAAGGAGATCCAAGGGAAGGGCAACTGCTTTTTCAAGGCAGATGTGTATGTTACATCTTCAGTGTTCAGTCATTACTGTCCTCTTATTATAAGTGGTAATATAATTCACTGAGGACAGTAATGACTGATTACTGAAGATTTAACATATACATATGTCCTGAAAAAACAGTTGTCCTTCCCTTGGGTCTTTTTCAGTAATGGATCTTTTGTGTTGCAACTAAAACAACTTGATTCTGTCCCCTCTAACATGGTATTGTGAACTTAGCAATACTGTTAGTTTCCCAACCTGGAATGAAAAATGCATTCATGCAAACACATTTTTTGTGGTTTTAGACAGATAACTGTATTAATTTGTATTGGCATAAAAGGAGCAGGAGAAAGAAAGGAGGAGATCTGGGAGCACTCACTAGGTTCCTTTCCTCTAATCCACATGTATTCATAATGTAGAAAACAGCACTTGGAGTGAGATCCAGGTTCCGATAGAACCTGGATCTCAAAGTACCTTCAATGTCCTTGGATCTGGCTTCACAATTGATCTGTCCTTGTATGCCAGTTGGCTCTGGCAGTGCCAACTAAGGTAGATTAGGAACCACAGACTTTCTGCGGTTTCATTTTCTAGGAGCCCCTGGTGGCGCAGTGGGTTAAACCCCTGTGCCAGTAGGACTGAAGACCTACAGGTTACAGGTTTGAATCCATGGAGAGGCGGATGAGCTCCCTCTATCAGCTCCAGCTCCTCATACGGGGACATGAGGGAAGCCTCCCACAAGGATGATAAAAACATCAAATCATCTGGGTGTCCCCTGGGCAACGTCCTTGCAGACGGCCAATTTTCTCACACCAGAAGTGACTTGCAGTTTCTCAAGTCGCTCCTGAGATGACAAAAAAATAATAATTTTCTGGAATTAATGCAAGGGAAATATAAATTTCCATTTTAACATGACTCCCATGTGGAAGACAAATACAGTAGGCTCTTTCTAGATACCATTTTTAACACTATGCCAGCTGAAAAGTGCCTGAGCCTCTTGGTATCTTCGTTCACTTCCCACATGCTGAAGGAGAGTTCTTCCAGATAGGTTTTTAATCCAATACCTGACTCACTTTGGACAGGCGTCCAAACAACACCTCTGGTAAAAGCAAATTATTGTGGAGTAACCCAGGGTTTCCCAGTTTACTCTGCATTAATTAAATACCTCATCAGATCTGGACCTTCATGAAAGATCTGGGTCTGATGAGGTATTGGGCAGGTGGTGTTCCACAATACTGAGACTCAATCTCCACAGCTATCTCACACTTTTGGTGGGTGCGAGAGGGTACCCACCTTCTCCCCCCAGCTCCTGATTTCATCCCTAAGGCTTACCCAAAGAGACTGATAGCTACGGAGCCTATCTGTAGTGTCCTCCTGGGTGGAGGAAATGACTCAGGAGGCAGGGGGGAGGGAAGTATCCTGGGGCTTAGGTTGGGAGTGAGGATGAGAACCCATGTGGAAGCGGGTTATTTTAACCTGTTTCTGCACGGGTTTTAGTTATGCCTGGAAGTGCCCTGAGTCCATGGGACCAACCACAAGCTCTCTCTGGTGTTTCTGCAGAATCACCTGACCAAAGAAAGACACAATAATAAAATCAGCATTGTCATTTCTGTCCTGAGATGCTTCAGTTCATGGATCATTTCCTACAGTGCCAGATAGCCTCAAATGCCCTGTAGAAACTCATGACTTGAGAAGAGGTTGGATTCTCCTTTCTTTTTCCACTGAGTTGTTAGAGCAGCGGTTCTCAACATGGGGGTCGCAACTCCCAGGGGAGTCGCTGGGCCATTTTCTGGGGGTCATGAAGGTACCAGGTCGTAAAAGCCAGGCTTTCCAGGTCAGCTCCTCCACCTTGCACGAGGCCTCCCTCACCTGCATTGCTCTCCCACCATCAGACAGGGGCGCGGGGCAGACAAGGGCCCCTTTGCGCAAAGCCTTGTGCAAGGCCTCCCTCACCTGCATTGCCCTCCTGCCGGCAGGCAGGGGCGCGGGACAGGCGCAAGGCCTCCCTCACCTGCATAACTCTCCCACCACCAGGCAGGAGCACGGGGCAGGCAAGGGAGGCCTCGCACAATAAAAACACATCCTGCATATCACATATTTACATTACGATTCGTAACAGTAGCAAAATTACAGTTATATAGGAGCAACGAAAATAATGTTATGGTTGGGGGTCACCACGACACGAAGAAGCATATTTAGGGGTCACGGTGTTAGAAAGGTTGAGAACCACTGTGTTAGAGGAAATTGATGCTTCTTTCTATGGATGCTTCCAGTTGACATTTTTTAAAGGTGGTGGACAAAATTCACTGATAGCAACAGAACTGGTACACTAGGGATCCTTCTAAACTGCCATGTAATCCAGATTATCAAAGTACATAATACACATTATCTGCTTTGAACTGGATGATATTAATCTACACTGTCATATACTCCAATTCAAAGTAGATAACCTGGATTTTATAAGGCAATGTAGAAGGGGCCTACGAAGCATAGCAAGACAGATCAAGATTGCAGAGCTGAGTGGGCAAGGGGGAAGGAACTGGCATGCTATATTTTGGTATGGTAAAGGTTGTTCCCTGACATTAAGCCCAGTCATGTCTGACTCTGGGGTGTGGTGCTCATCTCCATTTCTAAGCCGAAGAGCTGGCGTTGTCCATAGACACCTCCAAGGTCATGTGGCCGGCATGACTGCATGGAGCGCTGTTATTTTGGTACACATGCTAAATTTACATCTGCTGTGCAGCAAGTGGCAGTACCAAAAATGTTGTATATACACTACAGAGATTTGGTTGGTACTTGGAAGGAGACCACCAATGAATACTATCATTGGTGGAGTTCAGAATGCTCTTTGATTTTAGGTGAACTATACATCCCAGTAACTACAACACGCATATGTAAAGGTCTATTTTCCCCCAAGAGTGCTCCTGGGCAAAATCAACTATACAGCAAATGCATGAGCATTTTAGAGCATTTTAGAGCATGAGTAAATGAAAATTTTTCACTGAAAGGAAGTGGCAAAATCATCTCTGAATATGCCTTGCTCAAGAAAATGTTAGATCAGTGGAATCAATGGGGTGTATATAAGTATTGATCCACCAGATTCTTGTTGCTTTTGTGAGTCTACTCTCCTTGGAATTAACAATTGAATTTAGGCAATTTTTTTGAATTACATTAAAATTCACCTGTATTTTAGGACAATTTGCAGAGTCTGGTGTTTATCTCTTTCTATAGACAGATGGTTATAAAAGTACCATAATAATGATATTTTCCATAATGTGCTTATTGCTTTTGTAGACGGTAGTCTTAATGAAAAGCAGTTGTACAAAATATATGAAGGCAATTGAGCAGTTAGATCAAATCTCTCCTCACTAACCCCACATGCGTGTTGATGGGTGTACAGCTAATAATTCTGGAAATTGTACACTGGGGTATGAGCAAGCCTCATGTTCCCTTGCCCGATTCGTGTAATGCTTTGTTTTCTGGGCAGCATTGTAAAGGATCTATTTCTTAATCAGTCCCAGGTGTCAGATACTACTGCAAGAGAGAAAAAACATGTTGCCTGCCAAGGATCTATCCTAATTTTGTGCTGTGTTTTTTGCCCATCTCTCCACAGGCTGAGGCTGTCCACTGTTCATGAGCCCAGCAGCTCCCTGGTGGTACTTGAATGGGAGCATTCAGAGCCAGCAATTGGGGTGCAGATCGTAGATTATCTCATCCGCCAGGAGAAGGTCACTGACCGCTTAGACCATTCCAAGGTGGAAACTGGTGAGTGCTATCAACTCTTTTCCGCTTATTGGAAAACCAGGAAAGAAGGTGAATATGAAATCGTAATGCTACTTAATAGAGCTGCAACTTCGACATCAATTGAAAATAAAACTCTTACCTGCTTCCCAAATGAAATCTCACCACAGAATGAATTTCAGAAAATACCCGAGAATGAATTTCAGAAAATCCAAAGAGACATGCCTGAGAGGGGAGGAATATGTTGACCTCATATATTAATATTAAATGACTTCTTTCTCATGTCTCTAAATTTCATGATACAGTTCTCCAGTGAATAAATGCATACAGAACGTGTACATGAAAGGAAATGACATGCAAAAGGAATCCACATGGAAAATGCATTTTTAAAAATCAGTTATCAAATAGAGGGGTGTATACTAAAATGTTAATGCATGGTGAGTTTCATTGTGACTTTTAAAAAAAGTTCACAGACTGAAATGGAAACAGAAAAAGTTGTACTTGAAAAAATGTCAATAAATGCCAATCCAGGAAATTGTCGGTATAGCCACAGTTTCTTGACTATATGTGCAGAGGTATTGGATCTGCCCCATGTAGACCAGCTCAGCTGTAGTTGGTTTTATGGATAGCTTTACATTCCGACCCATAGGAAGTTGTGTTCCAAATTTCAGTGGCCGATCATCTCCGCCTTATGGCCTATTTTGCAATTTACCTCTTCTTACACAGATATCATTTGTTATTGTTCATTCGTTCAGTCATCTCCGACTCTTCGTGACCTCATGGACCAGCCCACGCCAGAGCTCCCTGTCAGCCGTCACCACCCCCAGCTCCTTCAAGGTCAGTCCAGTCACTTCAAGGATGCCATCCATCCATCTTGCCCTTGGTCGGTCCCTCTTCCTTTTACCTTCCACTTTCCCCAGCATAATTGTCTTCTCTAGGCTTTCCTGTCTCCTCATGATGTGGCCAAAGTACTTCAACTTAGTCTCTAGTATCCTTCCCTCCAATGAGCAGTCGGGCTTTATTTCCTGGAGGATGGACTGGTTGGATCTTCTCGCAGTCCAAGACACTCTCATATGAGTCACAAATTAAGTTTTCAGTAGTGCCATGGACTGTATTTCAAGGTGACCACAAGACAATTATCAGATCATAGAACTTAAATATGTCTGACTCCATTGGATCCTGTGTTTCCATGCTTTAAACATCCCCTCCTAAATTTGGATATCTTGAGGATATGTACCTTCCAGATGAGTTTGCCTACCTATATTGGCAATAATAAGGCAGGATTGTCCTACTGCTATCTGCATTTATTTATTTACGACATTTATATGCCACCCTTATCACCTCGAAGGGGACTCAGAGCATCTTATATATATATATACATACAATATATTATATTGGGTTGTTGTAGGTTTTTTCGGGCTATATGGCCATGTTCCATTGAAATACACAAGCATGTGGACAATTTCAACAGAAAGGAGGAAACCATGAAAATGAAAAAAATCTGGCTACCAGTATTAAAAAAAAAACCTCTAAAATTACAACAGCACAACAACAGAGAGGAAACAAACAAGGACATCTAATCACCTCTCAACAAAAGTTTGCTCCAGTCACTATCAGGCCATTATATGCTAATCAAGGTAGTCAGTTGAAACATTCACACCTAGCTCCAGCAGACAAGAGTCCTTTGTGCCACTCTGGTCATTCCACAGATATATAAACCCTTTTTCCTAATTCCAACAGACCTCTCTACCTCTGAGGATGCTTGCCATAGTGCAGGTGAAACGTCAGGAGAGAATGCCTTTAGAACATGGCCATATAGCCCGAAAAAACCTACAACAACCCAGTGATTCTGGCCATGAAAGCCTTCGACAATACAATATATTATATTATTAACATAGTACAATATCAGTATTATATATTATTATATTGTACTATGCCATTATATTGTAATATTATTAGTAATATTACATGTAATATAAAATATATAATTATAACTCATATTATTATTGGTATTATATTGTATTACATTATAATATTATAAATATTATATGTATATATAGTATATTATATTATATTACATTATATTATATTATTAGCATAGAACAGGAGACAAGGTGGAACTATCCCCTGCCCCCCCCCTTTCTCTTCACTCTGGCCCAGTGCAACAGTTGGTGTTGAGGGGAGGGTCCCCAACTGATGACATATGCAGGAGACAAGACTGAACTGTCCCTTGCCCCCCGCTTCACTTTGGCCCAGAGTAGCAGTTGGTGCTGGGGAGAGGGGTCCCCAACTGATGACATATACAGGAGACAAGATGGAAGTGTCCCCTGCTCTCCCCTCTCTGTTTACAGTATGGTGTGTAGAAATTAAAAATAGGGCCTTCTTGGTGGTGATGTAGATTGCATGGTATTTGCTTCATATAAGATGTCATTGATTTCCTGTTCCCAGTTTTCTAGTGTATTTCACAGAAATCAAAACATGTGCTGTTGCTTTTAATTTTGCTGTTGCATTACTTTGCTTTTTGTTGAAGTTCCACTCATTTAAATGTATGCTTTCCTGAAGAATTGTATGTACCTTGAAAATCTTTCAATGGAACAGAATGGCACGTGGGTAAATAGTTTAATACAGTATGGGCAATGTGTCTACAGGGGATAATTTCCAAGACAGATATACACGCTCAGGAAAACCTGAGACATGGATAATAGTAAACCCTGAGTTTTGACTATGGGTGTGTGTATCCATTAGGTTTTTGTTGTTTTTATTTTGAATTTTGGGTGCCCCCCCCCCCCCCATTCTGTTTTAGGAAAAATTCCAGGGGATTATCAGGGAGGCATTCAGATTTGTTATTAGGAGCTCCATTTCTGTTTTGGGAAGAATCTTCCTAAAAACAGAACGGGGAGAAGGGGGCACCTGAAAATAGAATGAAAACAGAACTGAAACAGAATGAATTTTGTGCCGTTTTGCACACCCCTAATTTTGACTATACCTAGGCCAGAGGCATACCATAGAGGCACAGAAACACCTCTAGGGAAAATATTTTTAAGATCATGGGTAAATGAAACCATTGATATTAAATCAGTAGATAAGGGGGTTGTCCTGCAACTCTCCCAGAAACAGAGCAAATCTGATTGGATTGTTGCCCCCTTTGCCCAGCTTCCCTTTCCTGTGTTCCTCTGTATTCCTTGCTTCTTGTCCCAGCAGTATTACCAGATAATGGCTGGGTTGCCTATTTCCCTAGAGACGGTGCTGAGTTTTGTGGATGACATCATCTCTGGTGCCAAGTCACCCTGTGCGATGCCAGCACAGGTGCCTGACAAGCTGTCAACAACCATCTCCTTGATCATTCGCTGCTTGGAGCCTGACACTATTTACATGTGAGTTACAATTCTGACATCTTGACATTCTTGCAGTTACAAGGAGAGCAAAATAATAACTTCACAGTGTACTTTGCAAGCTTTCAGATTGTAAATAATTATTCCTCAAGAGAAAAACTAAAGCACAGAATGAGATCAGGTTTACTAGAGAGATCAATAACAATAAAAGGGTGATTTGGTTATGTTGGTAGCTAAAGAAAAAATAAGGAAATGGCAGGGCCACAATGTGATGAAGATGGAAAAATGCTGACAAGTGACCGAGAAAAGGCAAAACAACTCAATGTCTTCTTTGCCTCAGCCTTCTCCCAAAATGAAAACAGTGCTCAACCTGAGATAAAATGGAATAGCTGATGAAGTAGGAAAAGGTAGCACAGAATAGGTAAAAAGACAGCACAGGAATACCTGGCTACTTTATACAATACAAGATTGTATGGTCAGATGAACTACAGGGCATCTACGGGAACAGAAAGAAGGAGGTGATGTCATAGAATCATAGAATCAAAGAGTTGGAAGAGACCTCATGGGCCATCCATTCCAACCCCCTGCCAAGAAGCAGGAATATTGCATTCAAATCACCCTGACAGATGGCCATCCAGCCTCTGTTTAAAAGCTTCCAAAGAAGGAGCCTCCACCACACTCCATGTCAACTTTCTTGATGGCTGTGTGGGCACTCAATGAGGCAACTGCAGTGGCCAGTACCTGCAGTGGCCAGAGTTCCTTGACTGATTAGGAGCAAAGTGGTGAACTTGACAAGGTGACAGTGGTCCCAAACTATCTGGATACATTTACATGAGTAATATATTGCAACCTAGAAAGTCAATGTAATTCTAGACTGCATCAGTAGGAGTATGGACTGAGGGGAAAAATAGTACCACTCTATTCTGCTTTGGTCAGACCTCACCTGGAATACTGATCTGGGCTCCACAATTCAAAGAAGGATATTGACATGCTAGAACTTGTCCAGGGAAGGGCTACAAAAATGGTAAACAATATGGAAGCCATACCCTATAACAGTGGTTCCCAACCTGTGGTCCGTGGATCACCAGTGAACAAAAATCTGGTCCGCAGCCTCACCATTACTAGACCGTTGCCTCAAAACAATGAAAACGACTGGTCTCGCAAAATCCTCTTATAGTCCCAAGGCAACAGGGATGATGATGATGATGATGATGATGATCAGGGTCTGGAGAACAAGCCCTATGAGGAGTGGCTTAAAGAGCTGGGCACGTTTAGCCTGAAGAAGAGAAGGCTGAAATGAGACATGATAGCCATGTATAATATGTGAAAGGAAGTTATAGGGAGGAGGGAGCAAGCTTGTTTTTTTCTGCCCTAGGACACAGAGCAATGGCTTCAAACTACAAGAAAGGAGATTCCATCTGAACATTAGGAAGAACTTCCTGATTGTGAGAGCTGTTCAACAGTGGAACTCTCTACCCCGGAGTATGGTGGAGGCTCCTTCTTTGGAGGTTTTTAAACAGAGACTGGATGGCCATCTGTCAGGGGTGCTTTGAATGTGATTTTCCTTCTTCTTCACAGGGGGTTGGACTGTATGGCCCGTAAGGTCTCTTCCAATTCTATGATTCTAATTAGTTACTTTTTAAAGTTAGATTTTGATCAGAAAACCATTCCTTTTTGCACTTACAACCTTGATACTATTACGATGATTGTAAATGCCCCTGAAATCCATAAAATCCAACCACCTGCACTGATGGATAGATGGTGAGTGTGGTACCAAAGGATGAAGAATCCAGTCCTTGCCACCTAGAGTATCGCATTACGGAGGTCCCAACATCTGCTCAGGAGGGGCTGGATGCTGGCAGGAGGGATTGGGTTTTAAGGTAGGTTGCAGGAATCAAATCAGGAGACAGTCTGTAGCCACAACATTTCAGCTGTGTTTGAAATGCAGAATCTCGATGTTTGTTTTTAAACAGGTACATGTTGTTAATTTCTGTTTATCTACATCTGTAGGTTGTTTTCAATGTTATGATGGAATCGTAGAAGGCTTAAACACTAAATTAGCTTAGAGTTTCGCCATGGGTGTCTCAGAGCTGGTTGCGGTTATTTGCATGGTTTAATAGGCTGGGTGGCTTTTACCGACTTGGTATCTTTAGCAGGAATCACTAGAATCATAAAACTGTGACAAAATTAAATTAAAACGGTTAAACCATTCTAAATTAACCTTCAACATTTTGGATAGGCACTGTAATGGTTCTTGCCCCAGGGTCTGTGTGTATGACTTTTTCCCATATCTCCGCTCTGCACCTGTATGTTTGTCCCACATTTCACCCCGCTTCTTTCTTCGTTGCATATTTATAGTAACTCCCAACATTCGCATGTCGTCCTTGGGGGGGAAATCCTTCTAAATTTCTTGCCTTCATTTATTAACTATCCTTTCTGATCAGGAAGGAAATGTGAGTTAGTTAGATTCGCCGAAACCAGTTTAGTCTCTGTTTAGACATATATAATGTATTTTGAACTGCATTATTTGGGTCCACACTGACCATATAATGCAGTTCATAGAGCATTAAATGGCAGTCCTGATCCAACCTAAGACTGGATCCAGCCTAGGGATGGAAAGAACATTAAAAAGTATTCCAAAAGCAAATTGGTTGAAAACATGTTTCTTGAGTACTGGGAAACACTCGCGAAGAGATTCCTGAACTGATGGGAATTTAAGTTGCCAGCTGTGAATTGTCTTTGAGAATTATAAAATATTCCAAGATTATCTCACAGTCGGAATAAAATTGCTAAAATTAATGGTTCCTTTGAGAACAAAATTAACGAAGAATTACATCCTTGGACCAGAGCATGGTTTTGATTTTTTTTCCTCCTGGCAATTCATGTTATATTGAAGATAATTGTTAGTTGCCCTGAAGAGTGGCAAGGGAAAAAAACATGAAAAGTTTTCCAAAAATAAATTATTATTATTAAACTTTATTTGTACCCCGCTAGCATCTCCTGAAGGACTCGATGCGGCTTACAAAGGCCAAGGCCTCAACACAACAACAGCATAACAACAACAATACAATTCAAAGCAAATTAAAAATATAAAGTAATAACAGAACATTACACCATTATGCAATTAAAGCCCAGCCAGAAAAGTGGGAAGGCTATAACCCCAGTTACCTCATGTATTCATGTATTCAGGTTCTGAGACTTAAGTCTGCCTGTTCTTACTCTTTGATCACCAGGTTCACGCTCTGGGGTGTGGATAACACGGGAAGACGATCCCGGTCAAGTGATGTGACTGTGAAGACACCTTGTCCGGTGGTGGATGATGTAAAGGCCCAAGGTAACTATACTGTTGAGCAGGCAAGGTCCAGAGGCTGCTCAACAGATAAAGAAGCTACAATATGGAAGAACAAGAAGGATATATTTTTTAAAAAAGGTTTTCCTTAATCAAACTATGCCTCTTCAATTTGCAGCCCTAATATAGCCTCCAACTACCAGAAGCCCTAGCCAACTTTATTCAGTGGTCAGAAATTCTGGGAGCTGAAGTACAAACACTTGGAGGTTGAAGAGACATGGTCTAAACTAGGGGTCCTCAAACTAAGGCCCGGGGGCCGAAGACGGTCCTCCAAGGTCATTTACCCGGCCCTCACACAGGATCAACCTAAGTCTGAAATTACTTGAAAGCGCACAACAACAACAACAACAACAATGCTATCTCATCAGCCAAAAGCAGGCCCACACTTCCCACTGAAATACTAATAGATTACATTTGTTAAAATTGTTCTTCATTTTAATTATTGTATTGTTTTAAGTGTTTTTTTGTACTACAAATAAGATATGTACAATGTGCATAGGAATTCATTTGTGTGTGTTTTTTTCAAATTATAATCTGGCTCTCCAACAGTTTGAGGGACTGGTCTAACTTTTTCAGCTGCAGAGCCCTTTTTGAAGCAAAAGTTTCTCATGGAGCCCAAAAATGTTTTACTGTTTAGTTCTATCTGATGTTCTATGAGGCATATTACACATGATGCATATATGAAAGTAAGAATAATACATACATATACATATACATATACATATACATATACATATACATATACATATACATATATACATACATACATATATATATATATATATATATATATATATATATAGTAGGTATATTAATAAAGGAAACAATAGTAAAAAAAGAACTGGAAACAATATTATTCATTATTTAAATCTACAAAATAATATATTGTTGTTTATTCGTTCAGTCACTTCTGACTCTTTGTGACCTCATGGACCAGCCCACACCAGAGCTCCCTGTCAGTCATCACCACCCCAAGCTCCTTCAAGGTCAATCCAGTCACTTCAAGGATACCATCCATCCATCTTGCCCTTGGTCGGCCCCTCTTCCTTTTTCCTTCCATTTTCCCCAGCATAATTGTCTTCTCTAAGCTTTCCTATCTTCTCATGATGTGGCCAAAGTACTTAATTTTTTGCCTCTAATATCCTTCAACTCCAATGAGCAGTTGAACTTTATTTCCTGAAGTATGGACTGGTTGGATCTTCTTGGGGTCCAAAGATAATATAACAACTAGTTAAGATATTTGAAAAATGTTGCAATGCTACATGTCCACCCGAAGTTATTGTTCCCCGACTAAGGCCTTCCCTTATGGCCTTTCGTAAGAGCCTAAAGACCTGGCTCTTTGAGAAGGCATTTAATTGAGTGCTACATTAGCTGGTAATGAGCTGGTAATGACAATTGGAACGGACATGGACTATGAGATTGGCTACGATTCTATATTGTGACGATGCGGATTAGTTAGTGTAATTTTGGATTAGATTAGTGTGTAATTTTTTATGTTGATTTTTGCTGTACTTTTGTAAACTGTTTTTATATGCTGTGCACCGCCGCGAGTCGCCCTAGGGCTGAGAGCGGCGGTCTACAAATGAATCAAATAAATAAATAAATAAATAAAGGTCCCACTCAGTTTTCTTCCAGCCCTCCTCTCTATCCTTTTCTTTCTCTTCTGCCTTTTAAACACATTCATGGGGGGGGGGGGAGTTAGGATTGATTGGCAAGCCTAGTGCAGAACCCCTCACAATCATTCACTGAGCCCCAAGGGCTCCGTGGAGCACACTTTGGGAACTCCCGGTCTAAACAATAGTAGATACCATCAGGAAGAATTTAGAATTAAAGGATTTAGAGGTCATAAGAGGATGGAGGTCTGTAGGAGAAGCTCTTGTCTTCTGGCCCCAACCTAAGTCTTTAGGTACTTGCGGAGAAGAATCTATTTCTAGGAAGAAGAGAGCACTGAGGTGCATATAAGTCCAGGAATTCTCTCACTGAGATGGCAAACCTGTTTCTGAACCAAATCATTTCAGACTGCAAGTAGAGGCTTGCAAGACTGAATGAGAATCTATCAAAAGTATTCTCTACACATAGCAAACCTGCAGATAATTGAGAAGGGTTCTTGTGTGCCTTGGGCATGCCAGCTTTGATGTTACTGTGGGATTTTTGTTTGAATTATGAGTTCTCACCTGAAGTCTGAATTGCTATAGCACAGAGAATAATGTGTCACATTAATCAGAACTAGGCTTTATCTATAATGCAGTCACCCCTCTCTGTTTTTTTTTCTTCTGTGAATACATTCATACAATGTATTTTTCTGCTACATTATGAAATTGGACTGTGAATTGTCCGGATTAAATTCTGGGCTAGAAACTGACCTGAACCTGATTCCTAGAATCATAGGATCATAGAATTGGAAGAAAGCCCAAGGGCCATCAAGTCTAAACACTGCCATACAGGAATACCTGACAGGTTGGAGACTATATGAGTAGAAAATTGGATTTGCAGCCTCTTTAACAAGCTCCTTTTAGAAGGGGTTCATTTCCCATGAAAGAGCAGGTGGGTGGCTTAACTCAACTTTGTCATTTTGGGTTCATCTAGATCAGTGGTTCTAGATAAGTGGTTCTCAACCTGTGGGTCCCCAGATGTTTTGGCCTTCAACTCCCAGAAATCCTAACAGCTGGTAAACTGGCTGGGATTTTTGGGATTTGAAGGCCAAAACACCTGGGGACCCACAGGATGAGAACCACTTATCTAGAGTCTTGGCCAGGGGTTCTCAAACTTTTTAAACAGAGGGCCCGTCACAGTCCCTCAAACTGTTGGAGGGCCAGATAATAATTTGAAAAAAAAAAACCATGAATAAATTCCTCTTCACACTGCACATATCTTATTTGTAGTGCAAAAACACTTTAAAACAATACTATAATTAAAATGAAGAACAATTTTAACAAATATAAACTTATTAGTATTTCAGTGGGAAGTGTGGGCTTGCTTTTGTCTAATGAGATAAGATTGTTGTTGTTGTTGTTGTTGTGTGGTTTCAAGTCATTTCAGACTTAGGTTGACCCTGAGCGAGGGCCGGGTAAATGACCTTGGAGGGCCGTATCCAGCCCCCAGGCCTTAGTTTGAGGACCCCTGGTCTAGACTGTAGAATTAATGCAGCCTGACACCACTTTAACTCCCCTGGCGCAATACTCTGGAATCACAGGAATTGTAGTTTCTTAAGACACCAAAAATATTTGGCAGAGAAGGCTAAAGAACTTGTGAAACAACAACTCTCATGATTCAATAGCATTGAGCATTGGCGGTTAAAGGGTTTCAGATTACATTAATTCTACAATATATATGCATCCTTTGTGTCTAGACCAAGTCTCAGGGCCCTTCTAAACAGACCCCAAAACATGGAAGAAATTGGAATAAAAAGGGGAGAGTGTGGCTATTTATTTGTCATGTCAGATCAACCAGTCAATTATATTACATTTCTAACAGAACAAAGCAAACAAACATATAAAATACAAAAACAAATACAAAATTTGTGAGTTTGGTAGTTGATTAAATGTCCTTTGACCAGTATCTGGCCACTTGGGAGTGCTTCTGGTGTTGCTGCAAGAAGGTCCTCCATTGTGCATGTGGCAGGGCTCAGGTTGCATTGCAGCAGGTGGTCAGTGGTTTGCTCCTCTCCACATTCGCATATCGAGGATTCCACTTTGTAGCCCCATTTCTGAAGGTTGGCTCTGCATCTCGTGGTGCCAGAGCGCAGTCTGTTCAGCGCCTTCCAAGTGCCCAGTCCTCTGTGTGCCCAGGGGGGAGTCTCTCATTTGGTATCAGCCATTGGTTGAGGTTCTGGGTTTGAGCCTGCCACTTTTGGACTCTCGCTTGCTGAGGTGTTCCAGCGAGTGTCTCTGTAGATCTTAGAAAACTATTTCTAGATTTAAGTCGTTGACGTGCTGGCTGATACCCAAACAGCAGATGAGCTGGAGATGTCTCTGCCTTAGTCCTTTCACTATTGGCTGCTACTTAGGAGGGTGGCTTAATGACATTTAATGAAAATACGCGCTGATTTGCATTAACAAAACTTGTGCGCCAGCTGCGCCCGTACCTTGGGAAGTCTGACTTGGCCACAGTAGTCCATGCTCTGGTTACATCCCGCATAGATTACTGCAATGTGCTCTACGTGGGGTTGCCTTTGAAGATGGACCGGAAGCTTCAAATGGTCCAGCGTGCGGCAGCCAGGTTGCTAACAGGAGTGGCGCTCAGGGAGCACACAACTCCTCTGCTGCATCAGCTCCACTGGCTGCCAGTTTGCTACCGGGCTCAATTCAAAGTGCTGGCTTTAGCCTATAAAGCCCTAAACGGTTCCAGCCCAGCTTATCTATCCGAACGCATCTCTTCCTACGAACCCTCCAGGAATTTAAGATCCTCTGAGGAGGCCTTGCTCTCGATCCCGCCTGCTTCGCAAGCACGCTTGGTGGAGACGAGAGAGAAGGCCTTCTCTGTGGTGGCCCCTCGGCTGTGGAACTCCCTGCCTAGGGATATTAGATCAGCCCCCTCCCTCCTCACTTTTCGGAAGAGAGTAAAAACTTGGCTCTTCGAGCAAGCATTCGGAACCCCGGAATAAATAGTCAAACTTGAGATGGAGAATGACCCAGGAACGGCCATGACGATGAAACGGATGAGGATTGGAACGAGAGGATATAGCTCTTTTTAAACTGTTATTATGCACTATCTTTATGTTTAAATGCACTTCAATTGTTTTTGCTTTTTGAATGTATGTATTGGTGGCATCGAATTGTGCCGATATGTAGACCGCCCTGAGTCGCCTTCGGGCTGATATGGGTGGGATATAAATAATGTAAATAAATAAATAATAAATAAATAATGCATTATCCACTGAATGTACTCAATACTGGGTCTGTTCCCTTTGAGCACCAAGTGAACCTCTTTGCCAGCAAATTTAAATCAAGTATTTTATTCTGCAATGTAATCGTATTTAAATAAGTGTGCTCATATGTGTGTGTGTGTGTATATATATCACTCCGACATCTGTTTGGTGGAACCAAGGCCAAGAATATTTTCATAAATTAAATAAATATGTAGCTGTTCAGAGGGCAGCATTAAGTGAATTCTTTAGAATAAGTTTTCTTAGGCATGTACTCCTGATCCCAAAATCTGTGAATAACACACATATGGAACCCAGGTGGAAGTTGGCTTAAAAAAAACCCCTGTTCACATGTGAACTAAACACTACCTGATTTACTTGGAATGAAGTGAAAAACAGTTTTCTTTTTTGGGGTGTGTTTGAAAGGGTAAAGGGAATCTACGTATTTTCAAAGTAATTGTACATGAATGGGGGAAAGGCAGCTAGGGGAACCTGCTGGCTTGATCTCAACTATTTGCTTCCTGCAACTAGGCACTCCTGGAGTGCTTTCCGTGTGTGTGTGTATAATGGTAAGATAAAGGTATTCCTTAGTCTAGATATCGCTTACTTCATTTACTGTGTTTGTTTGCAGAAATAGCTGACAAGATCTACAACCTCTTTAATGGCTACACCAGTGGGAAGGAGCAGCAAACTGCCTATAACACCCTGCTGGACTTGGGTTCCCCAAGTCTCCATCGGGTGCTCTATCACTACAACCAGCATTATGAGAGTTTTGGGGAGTTCACTTGGCGATGCGAGGATGAACTGGGCCCTCGGTAAGTTGCTCCTTAGACCAGCTCATTCATGTCACAGAATCCTTTGGGTTGAATCCGGTTGCCTTATCAGCTTTGTAAAGTGTTTTAGGTCTTTAACCTTACTTTTTAACCAAGCAACTGAGCAAGCAACCTAGGGTCCTTCCAGATAGGCCCTATATACCAGAATCTGATCCCAGATTTTCTGTTTATTGGCAGTGCTGACTCATATAGTCCAATTTGGAGCAGAACACCTGTGACCAGATCCTGGGATGGAGGGCCTGTCTGGAAGGGCCCCTAGTCTGTAATACAGGAAAAGAATAAGTAGCCACACACAACAATACCCAAATAAAATAGAGTGATATGCAAAAACTGTTGCAAAGAGAGGGAAATCCAGTTTAAAAAGAACTCTAATGTGGTATATGCAGTTTTAAAATACGCAAAGTATTATGTTATTGTTGTTGAAACTTCAAATATGATGTGATATGACAGATTTATTACTTATAAACACAATAAAAAGGAACAACTTCTCTTAGTCATGGATAAATGTCCATATTCATTTAGATAAACATAAACATAATAGTCCTATCTGTCTGATGATTTAAAGAGTTACTTGTAGATATTTTCGAAGGACTATTTGTGGCATCCAAGGTTGTGTCAGAGAAGAGTTCTACACGGTGACCAGGTTACAACAAGGTTTCCCGGGTGTAGTTCCTTGTTTCGGTGTTGGCGATGAAAACACCTTCTTCAGGTAATGAGTTCTTAATATTTCAACAATAAATACTTTCTTAATGGTTACTTAATGAAATTATCAGAGACTTGTTTCCTGTTGAAATATTAAGAAGAACTCATTACCCGAAGAAGGTGTTTTCATCACCAACACCGAAACAAGGAACTACACCTGGGAAACCTTGTTGTAGCCTGGTCACCATGTAGAACTCTTCTCTGACACAACCTTGGATGCCACAAATAGTCCTTCAAAAACATCTACAAGTAACTCTTTAAATCAGGGGTCCTCTAACTTTTTAAGCAGAGGGCCAGGTCACAGTCCTTCAAACTGTTGGAGGGCCAGATTATAATTTGGAAAAAAAAAACATGAATGAATTCCTATGCACACTGCACATATATTATTTGTAGTGCAAAAATAAACACTTAAAAACAATACTATAATTAAAATGAAGAACAATTTTAACAAATATAAACTTATTAGTATTTCAATGGGAGGTGTGAGCCTGCTTTTGGCTGAAGAGATAGGATTGTTGTTGTTGTGGGAGGTCAGCTTGACCAGCAGTGCTGCAGAATTCGAGGAGGCACGAGTGGAGGGTGAAAGAGAGAAACGTGCCAGGAGGAAGGCGCGTCAAGCCAACCCCAACCGAGACCGCCTTCCACCTGGAAACCAATGCCCTCACAGCGGAAGAAGATGCAGAGCAAGAATAGGGCTCCACAGCCACATCCGGACCCACAAGGAAACCCATCATGGAAGACCATCTTACTCGTCCAACGAGGGATCGCCTAAATAAGTAAGTAAGTGCATTGAAGTCGTTTCAGACTTAGGTTGACCCTGAGCGAGGGCCAGGTAAATGACTTTGGAGGGCCGTATTCGGCCCCCGGGCCTTAGTTTGAGGACCCCTGCTTTAAATCATCAGACAATTGGACTATTATGTTTATGTTTATCTAAATGAATATGGACATTTATCCATGACTAAGAGAAAATGTCAGAACCCAGACACCTTAAAGAGCCAGGAGTATGTCCAAAAGAATAGTTTATTAAAACAAAGTAAACAGGACTCAGAGACACTTGCCTCAGTGCCTCTGGTCAAAACTCAAAAGTTGTAGCAATTTCTAGCTTGAAAAACAAACTTAGTCAATAATCCGGATTATCCTGGCAAAAAACCCGGATTAAACAGGAGTTCTTCCAAAACACCCCAAAATCACATAGTAAAAGGAAAACAATCAAACAAAAAGCCGTGAAGAAGAGCCGTCATCCAAATGAAGTCCAAAGTCGAAGAAATCCAAGTCCAAAGTTGAAAGGTTCCAAGGCAGTGTCATCGTCAAAAGCAGTCCGAAGTCAAGGAGAGGGAAAATCCATACTTACGAGAATCCAAGTCGGTTGGCACACGAAGCAAAACAGCAACCTGCAGATCCAGGACCCAAGCCCAACAGGAAAGCGACAGCGACAAGACCCAACGCACAAAACCAACACTTTGCCTACTGCAAAGTTCTATCATTTCAGTGCCTACTTTTATCTTACAACTCATCATCCCATGTTGAGCTGCCCTCCATCCTGTCCTCATTACTCTCAGCTGGTTTAGCTTCAACAGCTGAGCACCAACACCCATCCCTCCAACTTTTCCACCTCTTGTCAAGACTTAGGTCTCCCCAGGATTCTACAGTATCATCCGATTGCCAATCCCCACCACCAGAAAACCCCGCAAATCTGTCACTGGACGTTGGTTGAGTACACACATTGTGAACCTCTTTTACCTTGGTCCAATCTATTGCTTCCTCCTCATCCTCAACACTCCCAGACCCACCATTCCCAAAAAAACCTCATGAAATCCTCTTCTTCCGTGGGAGCAGTAAGTATCTCCTGGAAATTCTTTCTTTGACGCTCCTCGTCTGACTCCTGCTGTAGTAATCCTCTTAGTTTCCCTATTTTCTCCTTCCTCCTCCTCACTCATTTCGCTCTCGGAAAACCCCTCGAAGGATTCTTCATCAGTGGGTGACATGAGTATCTCCCAGATCCTCTTTCTCTGCTGTTCCTCATCAAGCTCTTGAATACCTCTTTTCCCTCCTCTGACACTCCTACTACCAGTTGCAGTGTTGCCAACAGACTCTAGTACAACAGAAGATGTTCCTTTTTATTGTGCTTACAAGTAATAAATCTGTCATATGACATCATATTTGAAGTTTCAACAACAATAACATAATACTTTGTGTATCTTAGTAATAGATATCTGTGTTCTATATATATGCAGTTTTAAAGGCAACAGATCAATTGGGTTATAGAATCTGGAGTGACTGGCATGATGGCAGCTTTTTTATTCCATTATAGAGACATATCAGTGTACAGACAAAGAAGTGTGGCATGTGAATATGAGATGGGAAGAAATGCAATTGCCACTCTGGTCACATAACAACTATGAACAGAAACACAGAGCTAATGCCTAGTTTCTGATGGCATACATCAAAGCTGAACGTAGTCATCAAAACGTGCAACAAGGGGAACATGTGGGAAGTGGTATTATTGTCACAGGTGTCTATTGCAGTGTGTCTCTACTACAGATTTCAAGCAATTAAATACTAGTTGCCTTTAGGTTCTTGTGGGTTTTTTCGGGCTATAGAGCCATGTTCTAAAGGCATTTCTCCTGACGTTTCGCCTGCATCTATGGCAAGCATCCTCAGAGGTTGTGAGGTCAGAGAGCTTGGAGATGGCAGAGGTGGTGGCGGTGGCCCCCCAGAGGGTGTTGATGGAAGAGGAGGCGGAGGAGGTGGTTGACCTCCAGAAGAAGGCGATGGAAGAGGAGGAGGTGGTGGTGGACCTCCAGAAGAAGGCGATGGAAGAGTTGCCTTTACTAGTTGCCTTTACCCAGCTGGGAACTTTGACTGAAGAATAATTTTAATGTAGGGTCCTTCCACACAGCCACATATTCCAGAATATCAAGGCAGAAAATCCCACATTATCTGCTTTGAACTGGGTTATCTGAGTCCACACTCAGATAATGTGGGATTTCCTGCCTTGATATTCTGAGATATAGGGCTGTGTGGAAGGGCCCGTAGACAGATCTGGATATACCGAGATTCGTAGGAAGCTGTACTAGCCAATGTGGTATAAAACTGAGATATGTATTGTCGAAGGCTTTCATGGCTGGAATCACTGGGTTGTTGTAGGTTTTTTCGGGCTATATGGTCATATTCTAGAGGCATTCTCTCCTGACGTTTTGCCTGCATCTACGGCAAGCATCCTCAGAGCTAGAACATGGCCATATAGCCCCAAAATACCTACAACAACCCAAACCGAGATATCTTTATTGCATGTGTCTACTCTTGATTGGACGTAAGAAAGATTATGGCGTGTACCGATAGCTCAAAAATTCTCATTAAAAATCCTTGATTTCTTTGGAATTTCAGCCAGTTCTGTCACTAGATGTGAAAGCAGTAACCCTCAGCAATTTGGACAATATGGCTTTGATGTTGTTGTGAATAATGGGATGAGGATCTTAATTTCTTCAGGCAAGGAGGCAAACTTTGCTTTCATTTACTTGAGCATTTTTTAAAATAAAAAGTTAGAAAAAAATGTGGGCCAGTTGATTCTTTTCTTTTGAGGGTGGTTACGAGTCATTACTGGTGACAGATGGAGATTATATTTTAGCAGCCAGAATAATTTCAAAAGGAATATTTTACCAGCCTCAATAGTCTCTAAGGGATCATAATAAAACTTGGAAACCAAGCTTGTTTGCCGGCTCGTCCAGTCCTAGGCAGATCATCTGCTCTTGTGGTTGACAGGAGAAATCACTTGCAGATTCCCATTGAACCATTAGGTTGGCTACCCCGCTTCTTTATTCAACGCACAAACAAATAAGACATGTTTTACTCAGAATAATAATAATGTTTTAAATGTATTTTAATCTAATGTTTTATCTTTTGTATAATGTTGTTTGTAATGTGTTTTTGTATGTTGTCGGCATTGAATTGTTGCCTTTGTAAGCCGCTCTGAGTCCCCTTCCAGGGGTTGAGAAGGACGGGGTAGAAATATTGGAAATAAATAAATAGCTTTAAAAATTACAGCTTTGGGAACTATAGAAAAAAAACTACAGAAAAAACAAGGTACCTTATATTTTTGGTTGCTGTAAATACTCTGAAAGAAGGAACACCGTGCTTGATGTGTTCAACCACCACTCAACCTCATTGTTGTCAAAAAGTTTAGAAAATCTCTATGTTGTTTCAAAGTTCCATGTGTTGTTTGTGGACCTGTCTAACTACTGGCAAGATCAAGAAATGATCAAATTAACTTCAGACTTCTT